GCCTTGCACGAAGTTAGTGCTGAAATTACGTATATTTAACAACAATAATTATCACCCAACGTTTCGGCTCCGCATTGAGCCATCTTCAGTGGGTAAAATTACAAAATTCTTTTCTTTTATACTTTACATTAGCGCTTTGTTCTTTTCGCTCGCACTAAGGTCGCTTATCGCTAGTTGTGAGATCGTTCGTTGGAAAATTGCAGTGTCAAGTGATCCCATCCCCAGGTGACAATTTAACGGATCGCATCGGAGGAAAAACTTATTACATCTTGAGTCAATGTATAAAAACCGAGATGTCAGGCGGAACGTTAGTCAGATGAGGGACAAGCACAAAATGCCCTGGGGATGGGATCACTTGACACTGCAATTTTCCAACGAACGATTTCACAACTAGCGTTAAGCGACCTTAGTGCGAGCGAAAAGAACAAATACGCTAATGTAAATGTGTCATTAGTATAATCTGTTACTAGTTTAATCAGCGAAATTTTTACTGATCTAATTTATGAAAGTAGTAAAAAGATTTTTTTAAATTAAAAATACTGAGTTTAAGAAAGAAAAATACTGAGATAGAAATTAGAATTAACGTTGCAATAAAAATCAAAATTGAAATTAGAGATTGTACTTCAAATAGACATTTATAAAAGTGTTAAAAAATATTGAAATACTATTAAACAATTAAACAATTAAAAAACTATTGAAAAATTTAAAAAATTATGATAAAAGATTTATAGAATGTTTAGGTAGATAAGAATCGACGTTATTAGTTATGCGTGACATTATTAGGGGAGACCGGGGCTCGTTGGCACAGTTTTCACAATTTAGACATTCCTGTTTCTAAACAACTATTTATTATGATTAAACTATATTAATATGATAGAATGAACCTTTCTCTACATTTTCATGCCAGGAACGATTCTGTATACTGTATAGTTTTTTTATAGTAAATGAAATACGAACATGCTGCAATGTAGCCAATTTACCCCGATAGCCGGGTAAGTTGACACATATCATA